AGGTAAAGTGGGAGCGCGGCCGCGGCCCCGCGCTGGGCGGGAAGCCCGGGGGTTTTCGCCTGGGGTTTGGACCGGCGAGGTCACGGGGAGAGACGTTTACAATAACGTCACAGGCCTGCGACGGAGCGCGGCTGCGAGACTTGAAACACGGGGCGCTGACGGCTAGTGCGCCGCGGGATGCGGGCGTGGCTTTCCGCAGGGACTCTCCGGGGCGGCCTCTTAGGGTTGGCGCGTTGGGGAATGGCACACCTGTGCCGTCACGTCACTGCGGGTGTCGGAGCGCCCGGCGAGGACACTTGTGGGTTTTGAAAGTTCAGTGCCCCTGGGTGTCCTCGGGGCTGGTCAGGCAGAGTGCAGTCACGTGACCGGCGCCTGCTTCCCCCATCCCCACCCCGAGCTTGTTAGACGCGCAGGGTCTCGGGTCCCTCACGGACCTGCTGGGCCGCTCTGCCAGCCAGGTAGTGCTTTAACACGCTCTCGGGAGGAACCGTATACTTTAGTAGGAAGTTTGAGAAGCACCCGGGTAGTTGGAGGAGCATCGAGTCGGGAGCAGGGAGGCTTGGGTTTGGGTCCTGGCTTCTCCTTCTCTTGGTTCACTTGAGCTGCCTCGGAAAATGGGGAGGTCGCTTCCTGCAAGTGAAGTCGTTCGTGTGCCACCTTCAGGATTTTGCCTCATAGCAAAATCATGTACTTTTGATTATTCAATATATTTTATAACCGTATTCTATTTTTATATTAAATCGTTTCAGGGAAACTAAGTCCTTATGGTAAACAGAAGACCCGAATTGCCTGCCCCAAATCAAGTAATCAATACACTGAAACCAAAAAGTTATTAAACTGTGTTAGATACTGTGGCCTACCAAGGCTTGAGCCCAAGACCATCTCTTTTCCTGGTAAAAAAGGGAGATTAGCCCTAGCCGGTTTGGCTCAGTGGGTAGAGCGTCGGCCTGCAGACCGAAGGGTCCCGGGTTTGATTCTGGTCAAGGGCAGGTACCTCGGTTGCATGAGGCAACCAATCAATGTGTTTCTCTCACTTCGATATTTCTCGTGTCTTTCCCTCTCTCTTCCACTCTCTGTAAAAATCAATGAAAAAATATCCCCGGGTGAGGATTTAAAAATTTTTTTAAAAAGGGAGATTACCAAGTGTTAGGATTTGTCAGCTATAAACAGACCAGTGTCCTTGATTAAATCAAAAGGATTAGAAGAGAATTTAAAAGAGAATAACTCTTACCACATGGGCATTATTTAATGTACGATCATAAACCATGTAAAATCTTCCCATATACCACTTAAAGTCTTCTGGGTAACATTATTGGTATATGTTTCACACTTTGGAAAACACAAATAAAAAAACAATGCATTTGAGAGCTTCTACCACTGGCTTTCAAGTTTAATTAATTTTTTTAAAGTGTGTGACAATACAGGCAAAACTCATAGGATTGTTGAACATGGATTGTAATGCTTCTTTGTTGAGCCAATGGGCATAACAGAATAAGAATCTTTTTTCATTTATAAAGTTACCTTGCTTCCTGTATCTCATTTTATCTTCATGGTACACCTGCAGTGATGTGACGGCACAGGTGTGCCATTCCCCAAAGCGCCAACCCTTAGAGGCCGCCCCGGAGAGTCCCTGCGGAAAAATAAATAAAAAAAGAAAGGTTTTGTTATTGCATGTTTCCCTTAAAAGGGTAATAACCTGCTTATTACCAATTTGTATGTAAGAAATGGCAATTCTTATTTGTCCAAAGTTAGTGTTTTGAGACAAAACACATATTTTCTGGCCCTAGCTCTGTGCCTTTTCTAAGGTCCCTTCATGCTTAGTAAAGACGCCTTGCAGAGATTGTGAAAAGATAGAAATGGCAAATATTAGGATACTCAATTCTCCACATTACCTCTCACCCCAGATCATTTATTAGGGTGTCTGAATCTGGAAAGGTGGTACAGGCCTAGGGAACAATCTAGTATGTTTTTAATCTAAATAAAATCCTACCCACAAAAAGTCAGCTGTGTGTTGGAATTCATCCTATGTATTTTTTAAAAAGTGTATTTTTTTGTGTTGTTTTTTTTTTTTTTAAATGAGTACTGGGATGTCTGTAAAGTTCTTTCCCATTGCCATGTTTTGGGGTGGGAGTAACAAAAGAAAGAACAAGCAAACAAGATTAATTTGAGAAGTAGAGCCAGCTCATCATTTTCAGCATCAATTCCTGGGTCAAGTTTTTGCCCCATCCTATATAATCTACACTAATAAAAGAGAAACATGCTAATTAGCGTACGACCGCTACCCTTTTCATTGGCTAATCAGTGAGTATATGCAAATTAACTGTCAGCCAAGATGGCGGCCGGCAGCCAGGCAGCTGGAAGCGAACATGAGGCTTGCTTGCTTCAGTGAAGGAGGACTCCAA